AAATTTCTCTACTCTAAGAAGAAGGGAGAGTACCTTTTATTATGTTTTATGATAAGTCTTGATGATTAAGAACCATATCTCAATTGATCCTCTAAGTAAGTCTTAGTACAATTGTATGTCTAAGAAGAGGAATCAAGAATTGAAGAAATGGTTAAATCAAGAAGTCAATCATACTTCATTCCAAAACAATTCTTAGAGTTAATATTGTGACATTGAGTAATAAGAAGGTTTATAACATTCATCAAATGAGGAAAGTTGTGATGTCTTGGATAAGACAAAAACCAACTAGGACCTATTTATGAAGTGTTTTGATAAAAACTACACTAACTCTTGAATATTTGTCAAGAAATGAGAATCTTATATGTCGAAGAGTCAGTGGGAGTATTAATGGTCTTGAAAGGTTTCAAGAACAAATCAAAATAGACCTTATTGATCATCACTAGCACACGACTTGAGGTTTATAACCTATCGTGTTGACGTTACTTTGTTTCTATGCCATTCCATTTGAGTTAATTATGCATGTGAGCCCTATGAGTTCTCATTATGCGTAAAAGGCAAGGACCTTGATCAATGAAAAGTACATTGATAGGAAAAGGTGAGCTGCTTAACCACTTGGAAGACATGGTGGGCAGCTGTGCTACCATAAGGCAAGAAATCAAGATTGAGAATGTTCGGTCCATATGAGTTTGGATTTGTCGCAAACTTTGGTTTTGACAAATTCACATGGATAGGAACACACACATACACCATTAAAATCTAAGTGTCATAAGCTTTTTTCCTTCATGGAAATGACTGTGAGAAAATGCTTTCACTAAGAGAGATTTTAAGAAGATAACAATTGTAGTATTGCATTCTCAAATTTGATTATGGTTACGGTATCCCTCTCCATGATTCGAATTGTGAGATTTGGCAATTAGTCTTAATTGTTTAAGACACATATGAGCTATCTTGGATAAAGGTGTACGAGATTAAGAAGCCTTGATAAAGGATTATCAAAGCATTAAGTATTAGAAATATGAACTTAAGAAATTCAATAATTATTGTTTTTCTGTAAGTTAAGTTGTTTTCTGAATACATGTCAAAGCTAGTGGGAGCATAAGCGTTATGTTTATAATAATCATCATGACAGTGGGAGCATAAATGTTATGATTGTATGATTATTAAGTCAAGTATTGCAAGTTAGCAATATTAATTATAGAAAACAAGAGTCATACTTTGCAAAGTTGTAAGGGTTGAATAGTTGTTTTGCCATAATTAAGGGAGAGAATATTATGCTTCATTTTCAAATCTAAAGGCTTAGCTTGTGAAATGTTAGGAGATTTAGTCAAGAGTACATAGTGCATTCTCAAAATTTTGATTATGATTGTGGCATCTCTCTTCATAGTTCGAATTGTGAGAACGTGACACATAAAATATTATGACAAAAGATTGATAAAGTATCGTATCGTATCCCATACGCTTCGGGTATAGGATTGATTGCAAATGCTATGGTATTTATCCATTCTAAAATTTTTCCAAATGTCTAGCGCATTTAAAGGGAAAAAGGACAAGAATCGGTTTTGACTAAGATAATTAAACAACTATCAAAGGACAATCCAAAGTTCGCCGAGGATTGGTCGCTTGTGAGTAGTTGGAAGTATAGTACTGGATGGACTATATCGACATTATTATGAATAGATAAGATTCTATTAAGAATATGTTGTCATATGGTAAGTATGGAAAGGTTCTATATTGGGAGTTAGATATTGAGAATCTATGTCTAGATTAGAAACTTTATGCAAATGGATGTTCAAAGAAATGTACTTTGAGTGAGAGACATCACATATATGGAATTGTCTTGTAACAATCCCCGATAGAGGACTTTGTAATTTCATTGGCGATAGTCATTGTGACATTAGTGCAGTGACATTACGAAAGGATCATTGCGTAAAATATTAGAATCTAACATATTCTATAAGTGGCAAGAATTTGATATTCTATCACTTGTGGAAAGGATTAGGAGTTGTGAAATGAGTATGAATGGAAATGTGTTCATTTGATCTATTTCATAAAGTAAGAACCATAGGTAAACATTGTGTGCACGCTAAGAGCATGGGACAAGTGTAGTAATAATTCAAGTAAGAAGTTGATTACCTGAAACAAAAAATAATGAGTAATCGATATGGTGATAAATAAAAGGTGTTTTATTTATACTCAAAAGGTTTGAGGCCATATGGGATTAGTATTATTCTTGTGTTTCACCTTGCATGTTTTGACTTCCTGAATAATTTAATTGGTTAAGAACGGTCAAATTATTCAAACGAGTCACAGTCGTTCATATGTTGAAAGTAGGTATGAGTGAAAACTGTCATGAATTGGTGTGTGGATTGTCTAAAAGAGTATTAGACATAAGCAAATGTTTGCTGCAACATTCATGAGTGCTTATGAATATGATTTGAGCATTGGATTAAACCCACGCTCACCTGGATCACTCCATGGATTTTATCACGAGTGATTGGTGAGGCGATAACATCTTATATTTTTGAAACTGAGATGTGTGAGTTGTAGCTTGCAACTCGGTTGCACATTGATAATATGGAAACGCACTAGTAACTTGGTGTCATAAAACATATTATTGTGTGTGATTCGGTGAGTGAGTGCAAGCGAACATTGAGTCAAAGTTTATCCGTTCCTTTTATCCAAAGTAGGATAAAAGCGATATCTTTGGGACCCTCGATGATTTAGTGATGACAAACGTAAATGCTCGGCCGGGCTAGGGCTAATTTGACTTGTTCAATTAGTCAGTCATCCTAAATCGGAAGTTGGGAAATAGTATAAAGAGAATGATTAGAATTCATGTCCTATATATATATATATATATATATATATATATATATATATATATATATATATATATATATATATATGATATCTAGAATGGAGGAATATATGATCCCTTATCTAAAGGACACGCATATCTGATAAGATCAGAGTTGACAGCGGCTTTGGAAAGCAACGATTGCAGAACAGGATCTGAAGTCATACGCGGAATAGTTATTAGACTTATTCAAGTGGGAGACTGTTGGATTAGTGTCTAAGTCCATAACTATTTTGGTATGTACTTGACCTGATGGTGCATGGTCCTTTTGGGTTGCCTTCACCAAAGCAACTTGATTGGATGAATTATGGAGACAGTGGATTAATTATGATTTATTAATATATTATGAGAATAATATATTAAAGGAGAAATCATATTGTTTAATTAATATTAGTCAAGAATTAATAAGAATTAAGTTTATGGCTAAAAGAGATTAATTAAACTTAAGGGACTGGAATTGTAATTATAAGATAATTGCAATTGGGCTATGGATTACCTTATTATATAAGGTTGGACGAATTCTATGGGAAAACCCATTAGAAATCGTCTAAGGCCTTTAAGAAAGAAATCCATGGGCTGCTTAGGGCTTAAGCAGTCATATTAGGGTTTCCTAGTTTAAAACCCTAATAGCCTACATGTATAAATAGCACCCTTAAGCCCCAAAAACATGGTGATGAGATCCTCTAGGGTTTTGGACGATTTTGGGCAACCTCCACTCTCTTCGTTCTTCATCCTCTTGCTCTTGGTGTTTGTGAACCATTAGAGGAGTGACATTTGTAACTCAAAGCTTTCTAAAGTCATTACAAGAAGGAATTGTGATTGTTATTGTTACATAACAATCAAGGTAATATCTTAAACCCATTATTATGTTAATATCGATTATCATATGCTATAATTAGGGTTTATAGTCTTGGATGAATTGTATGTACAATAGAGAAACCTAGATCCAAGCATTAGGGTTTGTATGAGCACATAGGATGTTCTTATGGCTAAAACCCAAAAATCTAGTCGACCCCTTTTGTTGCACTCTCTTTGGAAGGACCATATATGTCAGATGATACATTTTAAGAATTGAAAAGGGCTAAAGAACAACAAAAACAGGATAAACAGTCGTCTCAGGTTCTCAGTGAATATCGTAAAGTTATTGCATCAAAATGCAAACAAGATCAAGAAAGGAGAATGCATCAAAAAGACTAAGAAGGCTATCAAAATGACTGAAAATGGCTTGCTAACAAGGATGCAATGATTATACATATTAGGATGCAAAAGGATCGTTTCAAAGATAAAATGAGAATTAGGGATGAGTATATAACAATCGAGAAACAGAAGTACCCATTGCAGTTCCCTGAGGTTTATAATTACTTAAAAAATTGTTGTAAGATTATCATGTATTGGGTTTGCAATATGTATTTTTTTTACATTAATATGTTTGTTTTCTCTTATGATGTTCAAAAAAAATTACAATATAAAACCATAATAACAACATCTTAGAAAATAAATAAAAACATTACAGTATATAATATATTAACAACACTTCAATTTAAGGTAGTTTTAAATAATAATTGGCGTTATAGCTCTGTGAACAATTTGCAAAAGCCCCAATATTAGTTGTCGTCTTGTAACGCCCGGTTCCTGGTATGTATTTTAAATCAGATTTATTCAGTTTTGTGCAAGAACTCGATGAGTTGGGGGCCCCAAACTCGTCGAGCAGGACTGGATTTTTGGATGGGGATCTTAAAGTCTACTCGACGAGTTTAGAGACTCAACTTGACAAGTAGGGCTGCCAAAATGAAACCCTAATTTTCAGGGTTTTGCACCCTATTTAAAGACCTTAATGCTTCATTGTGGCCTCCCTCATCGCCCCCTCATTCCAATGAAGCCCTAATACGTGATTTTAGACCACTTGGAGTGTGTGTGAGTATAAAGAGAGTGTTTCCTTGGTGCTTTCTTGAAGGAGTTGAATTTGAAGGTGCTTGGTTCAAGGGAGAGACTTTGGATCCAAGGATTTCTCTGTTGAGGCTGCCATATTAAGGTATAAAGTCGAGAACTTGGTTGTTTATTTGATAGATCTCTTCTTCTTTGAGAAGTTT